TAAATCTTTAATAAAATGTCAATGAATTGGTTAATGTAAAATAGTTTTTGAAACAAAACAAAAGCATTTGCATTATTTGTGTTGTGAAGGCAATGTTTCTATTGAAATGATTGGGTGTTGCCAAAGGAATTTTTCTAACAAATCCAAGGAAGCTGCAACCTTAACCCAAATAGCCTACAAATGGCAAAACAACAGAAAATACTTATAGTTCTTAAATCGAACTTTAAGTAATATTCCAAAGTAAATCAAACTAAGGGAAATATTCGTTTTAAATAAAATCTTTAAAATAAAACAATAACAATGACTCACTCTATTCACTCCATTCACTCAATTCACTCCGTTGTTAGATTGAATTACTTGACGAAATAATAAATTAGAATTTATGGTGAAATTAAGAATGCCACTTACCCAATAAATACTGAGGTTTCCTTCATAGGTTGACGTCATAGTTCGGAAAACAGTTTTCTATCGGTACTACTGTTGAGTAATCAAATTTTTTAATTGGTTTATTAAATGCATAATTTTTGCCAGACAGATCAAAACTTGGTTTAATATTATTATTCCATCTTGATGATTAATGAGTCTGACTAATGAATTTTTTTTTTAATTTTACTGACACTTAAGATGCGCGAAGCTTTTAAAAGTATTTAATGTAAAACAAGAAAATATTTAAATGTTTACACTTAGATTAAAAATATATTAAGAACTGTGAATGGAGTTCTTTAAAGAAACATAAAGCATCTAGTTTTATAAAACAATCATATAAATTGATTGTATTGTGTATTATGGCAAACCTGATTAAATCAAAATTGTTTTATTACGGATCAGTATTTTCTCTTACTTTTTTAGAGTCTGCATTTTTTGATTTCTTATTTCCTATTTTGAGTTGTCAATTTACTATACGATGTAAAGTATATTTATATAAACAAACTCTATTGTATATAAGTAGGCGTGCATATTTTTAAAAATTTTAAATATTTAACTTTTTACAAATTTTAACTACAGTCGGTTTAAAAATTTATAAAGAAAATTCTTCGTATATATTTTTGGATTTAAGGGTTTCTAAATTTTGCAAACAAAATGTCTGGTAAACTTTTAATAAATTTTCTTAGAACCTTAGGAAGCCCAGCAGTACAGGTACGTTCCATGTTCTCTGACGGACTAATGGACGCCAACGCCTACAAGAGGGTTCTTATCAATAAGAAACCAATCGAACCCACGCCCACGGTTTCGGTCCACGGAAGCAAAAGCTGTTCACAAAAGTTCAGCAAATCGAAAGAAAATTTTTCTAGTAAAAATGGTACAAGAAATTCATCAAATGGTAGCGAATTTAAAAATATCGATGAACGAATGAACTTTGTGCAAGATGCATATAAAAATTCTGAGAAAAAGTTGATTGGCTTACGACCAGGTCCTTATACCCATGCGAGACGCAAACAGTTAGACGTTGAAGAAAACTTCAAAACATACGAGCATTATCCACGTCTTGATAATGTTTTCTATAAGAAAGATTCACCGAGTTCTAAATCAGCTGTTGCGCAAATACTTGCAGAAAGGAAGAAAGCTACACACTCTTCCGATTCGAAGAAAAGCTTCATAACTCAACCAAAACGTCGTTATTAGTATGTATGCTTATTCGTAATTGTTATTGAACTAGTTTTATAAAATTATTAAAATATTATAAATTCCTACTTAATAAGAAAGATAAAATTAAATGATTATATTATAATATTTCGATTAATTCGATAATATTTTCTAATGCATGTTTATTTAATTTTATATTGATGACATTGAGTTATATTATCTTGCTTTAGAAATTATATTGTTGATTTTTTATTTATTTTATTTCAAGGTCCGTCAGACGTATGATAACCTATGCTGGAGTCCACTTCACAACTGCTTTATGAACCAGACATTTTTGTTTTTTTTTGGTAAATATAACAGAAACAATAAAATATTTTGGCACTACAAGGAAGTATTTTTTTAATGAAATTATTAAAACTAAGTTTAGAAGAAAATGAAATGTAAGTATATAAAATACTCAGGCAAACATCTTTAATAAATCTTGAAAAGTAATAGGAGAGGGAAGCTCAAATTTGAAATACTGTATTTAAAATTATTGACACTAAATTAGTGTCAATATTTTCTTTAAAATTAAATATTTTAACTGTGAGGATTCCGAAATTTAAATTTATTTTTGCGTATAGTAATTATAGGTTAGGTGTACTATATATGCACATATTTCACTCAAATGTGTCCAGTATGAGGACATACTAGCGTAGTAGTATTATACCAGTCGTTAGCGGAACAAGCTCTACACAACACTAGTTCAAGTGTAGTGTGTTTTATATGAAAACAATTGTATTTACACATGCATATTTTAATAGCGGACCAATTGCTAAACTCTGTATAAGTTTAATCTAGTCTAAAATTAGTCCGTACATAGACAATTTTATTTAATTAATTTAAACAATGACTCTGCGTTTTTATTACTTCATTCTATTGTTATAATTATATTCAGTCGCACAACCATTCAAGTTTATGTTCCATGAGAGAGTTCGTATATATTCCTTTAAAAAGTTGATAATTATTTTATTATTGTCAAATTCCGCATTAGTGGCTATCCAAACAGGTATTATTTGATTCGTAGTCAGTAGCTCTAATATGAGATTTCATAATTTTTGACTTAGTTTTGGTGGTTCAGAATTGAAGAGTTTTTATAGTTGCTTTAGTACCGTTATCTCTCTATATAATGTTTTCGTTTTCATATTATCTTAATGGGTATTTTATACCTATACCCACATCTATGTCATTAGTATGCACTTCTTTCTGAAGAACTGTGAGAGAAATTGTTATTAGAACGGCTATGCTACATATTGTTTATTGCTGGCGCCTTTGTTTGAATATATGTATAAGGTTATTTTAAAACTATTATGAGACGTTTAGAGGTTTATTTCAATTCGGCGGCGTGATTTTTATACTTTGATCGAACAAAAACGTTCATATCAGAAAACATAGGTCTATGATGCAATGTGTGGGGGTTTTAATAGGACTCTATTTCCATGTCGTTAAATATCATGAAATTTTGATAGTACATTACTTAAAGGTCTATTTTAACGATGTCATACAACAATGCGTAGTTTAAATACTAAATGAATACTGTTTACCTTGGAGTCCATATTATACAAACATCTTGAATTTAGAAAGTTATTTAATAACGAATTTATTTATATTAAAAAAAATTTTTATTAATCTTTAATATTATGCAAAGCACAATATTTATACATCAGATATAATAAGAAGTCTGAATAAAGTGGTGAATAAAGTAGATTTATGTAATATACGGGTACTCAGTACCATTATTCGGTATAGTTAGTGTCACGGATGAAGGATACTATATCAATTTTTGGTTCAGCCAAATAAAATATTTGACTTGCACCGCGTTTTCGGTGGGTTGACATTAAATGTATGCTAAGCAGAAACTCCACCATAATATTTTCATCCGGTGAAATTGGGAACACTTCATTATACATTTTTTGATATTTTTCTACAATATATGATGAAAATATTATTATATATAAAATACATATAAAATGTGAGATTCTTGTTTACCTCGAACTTCCACCAAAGTCAACCCTTGACTTAGTTTTGTATGTTCTTGGAATAATCTCTCAGTTCTTTTGTAAATTTGTGGATGTTCCTCTCTAATTCGGATCAACTTTTGAATAATATGATACATTTTAATGTTTTTGGTAAATGTGTTTAAAAATGTATTAATTTCTGCTGCAAAATTGTTTTAAAACACAAAAACATAAATGTCAAGAGAATGAAATAAAAAGTTTTTGAATACAAACATGTGAATGTCACCCTACATACCTCTAAAAAGATATAACTATGGTCGTCATGTTATTTGTATTCTGTCAAGAATATGTGGTTTAAAAACTAAATAGCATTATTTATTAAGCAAGGCAATGATATATGTTATACATTCTTGACACTCCCTTGTTTGTTGATTTTTTTCCGTTTTCAGGTATCGAGTACTTAGAGTTTTTTATAGGAGCTAATATCATATAACGAGATAGAAAAAGTGAAACATATGTGATTTCAATTTATAGCTCATTTACACTGTCTCTTTTAGGCGATTTTGCTTATTATTGCCACTAGTGAAGGGAATTTACCATACAAAGTGCTTTTATATAAATGCGCTTATAATCAATAAATCAGCTCATTTAAGGTGAACAAAATCGAAAAATAAAATAAGTTAAAAAGCTAAATACTTTCAGTTTTCAGTTTATATTGTAAGTTTTAAAGGTATATTTTACTTTCATCAATATATTTTTGAGCACAAGCCAAAAACTAAAGCAACAGGCACGTTGACAAATCAGCTGTTTAATGTGAGAACAAATGAATGTAAACACTTTCAAATGACTGATTTGAAATGAGACATTTGCGGGCAGCGTAAACGCCATATAAGGCTTATCTATGCTTAATTATATATTAACACATTGATGATGATTGTATTTTCGAGTTTTAATCTTAAGTGGCTAATCATATTAAAAAACTTATCGTGAATTTTCGAATTTATTGTGATATTTACTTTCAAATTGTAAAGCTAAAGTAACTAAATATTTCATCTTATATAGTTAATTTATATTATATTTTGATAGAAAGGTAAAATTTTAATCTTTTTAAGCATTTAAAATGTATACATTTTATATATATATATTTTTTTTTTTGTATATTATAAATATATATTATAGTACTTCACGAAATACAAGTGCAAGTGCATTCAGTGCATGACAAAACTTACGTCTCTTTCAGATTTTCTTTAAATTTCATATGCAACCGTTCGCAAAAGCTAAAACCTCATACTTCGGAGTTTATTTTTACAGAACCTGCGTTCATTACATTGAAATATTTACAGAAATATTTATATTTCGATACAGTGAAAGCTAATTTTTTGTTATTTAATTTTGTTCTGACAGTTTTATATAAAACAATTTGGTTTGTATTGTACGTGCAATTTTATGTCAAAATTATAAATTGACTTCAAAGAAATCCAAAGAAGTGGTTTTGTAAAGATCCTTAAAATGGTTTGTGAAGAATCGGAAATTGTTCTTGCTAAACAGCGTGCTGTCCACTTGAAAAATTGCGTTAAGAATCTCTTCGAAGTTTCGTTCAATTTAGCACAACAGGAGCACACGTTGAAAATGAAACGTTTTGATCTCAATGAACGAGCAGCAAGAGCATTGTTCATGGTTAGTGTTAGTAACAATGGATATCTACCTTTATCTGTAGGTCGTTGAATAAACATAAAATTACAAAATTACATATATTTTACTTTCAGAACGTCTATGAAAATCTTTCTATTGATGAGATGGCACTAAACACAGCTGATATAGAGTTCTGCAGGCAAATAAAACAACAGTCGTTGTACTGCTCATTTGTCGCATATCATATTTATAAGACGCAATATCGCGGTCCTAACGTGGCAAATGGTGAGGAATATAAAGACAGGTTAAAATTGCAGATTACTCGCCGCCTCTTAAATCTTTTGGTTGACAATGCAAATGTACTGCACGATTATAATAAAATTGACAATTTCCAGCAAGCAGAAATTTATTTGAAAGCTAACCCAAATATTGTGAACAATTCGTTGTTGGACTTCTCAACCGTATTGGTTTTCATACTATATATGGAGCGTGAATTTCAGCTGATGCATAACGCTGCATTTCAATGTGTCACGCTGAGGGCTATTCTGAACGATATTAATACATTGAAGATATCAGCTAGAGAATCTATAGAAAACTTCTTTATTAAAGTCGTTAATGATAAGGACTATAGGCGCAATTTCTTATTACAATTGGATATGCTGGTGCTGAGCGTAAAAAGTGTTGAAAAGTTATATCGCAACTAGGATTAAAAATCATTACTATAACTCTACTTATTGAAGTCTAAAAATCATTTGAAGATGAAAAAAAAACGTTTATAATCAGTTTCGTATTAAATGCTTAGTTTTTTTTTTATTATATGTGAGTCAACATTAGACTTAATCGTTTAATAAAGTATCCCATTCTAAGAAAATAGTGAAAAAAGTTTAAGAAGTCGTTGCTAAGATAGAATAAAACTTAATAAAAAAATATTGTAACATTGAGTGTTTTACTCCATATTTGATTGCATCTATAGATGTCAGATAGAATTTTCTAAAATATTTTCTTTGATATATGCCAGTTAACATTAACATATCCAGTAAAGAATTCAATAATTAAACTGAGTTAAAATCTATTTACAATTAAAGAGTTTCAAATATTTTTGAATAAAAGTTTTTACAAATCATTTATATTCGATTTTTCTAAGTACTGGTGCAGTTTGATTAATATATATTCCACGAAAGGTGTACGTCTTTTGAAGTCAGTCGGAGAATTTTTCGCAAGTTTGTCTGATATTTGGTAATATCTTATAATTAAAAGAAAATGCAAATGCTATAATTTTCTTTATACTAGCTAGGAACCTCAAATATTAAATACTTGCAACTGCGTACCAATATTCTTAATTTGGAGAACGTTGACTATACATTTTTATCACACTATCTACTGCCTAAGAAGCTTTTAAAGAGTGTTCCGTTTGAACAAATCACGAATGTATCCATTTTAAAGTTTTGATCTATTGGGAAATTAAACATACACATTTAAGGCTGTATAAAGTGTATATTCTTTATTCGATTCTTTTGGTAAATATCACAAATTAGTCGCAGTAGGAAAAATTGGTTTCATTGGTTATTATAAGTTATCACAAAGATGAATGGGGTGATTTTCTTAATGACTTTCCAGACTTCCCAGAGAAGACACACGTTTTTGCCATTTTCGTAGGGAACATAACTGAGTCTTAGTAGTTCAGTACTAAGTTTTATGTTTATTTTATGTGTATTTTTGCGAGTATATTTTTCATTAAAGTATTTTAAAGTCTTCAGATTATGGTATAACATTCTGTAAGTTTGTTTGAAGGAGCCTATTTTTGCGTTATTAATACAGAAATCTTTCTTAGTCTGATATTGGTTTAGGTGACTGCACTGCTGTCAGACAATTTAACTATTCTTTTCATCTGTATATTTCTTTCAAACATTAAAGAAATGTTTTGTACTTGTGAAAATTTAGATTCGTTTTTGTTTTTGTTTTGCTGAAGAATGCTAATCTTCATATTACAACCATGATATTCACTTCAACATATCAGGTTGAGGCATTGGCAAGTCACTCACTGAGACGGTGAGAAATGAACAAATTAGGATATTGTGGTTAATAAGGATAATAACTGATACCTATCACATACCTATAGCGCATTTATCACGGATCTGTCACAAATCTATTACCTACCTATTATGCATGTAGTGAGTATTTGAAACATGTTACTGGAAATTTAATGAAGTGATATAGTTTTTATCAAATTTTGCAGGAAGTCGCAATAAGAGTGAAATACAGTGATATATAGTGTTTATGTGAAATCTAAATCTGCATTGTTGTGTTGGAGCTTCTTAATATATATGAGAATACTTCAGTATGGGATCTATTCTTTTTATTGCAGTAAAAAAAATAAATAAATTAAAAATAATTAAATGAATTATATTTTGCTTTGCGTTGCATTACTCATTCCTTGTTCCTCATTACACATCACACATTTAATTTTACACATTGTACACTTAAATGGCAATTTCGGCTTGTTCCTGTTTGTCGCTTTTTGATTCCTTTTCTTTTGGTGTTTTTATTATTATGATTTCTTGTCCTTGTAAATCCTTAAATCAACCTATTTTGCATAAATCATTTCTGCTTTATAAGATAACAAGCACAGCCTAGGGTGATGCTATGTCATTTATGTGAAATGAAGCGATCATATCAGCATTCAGTGTTGGCACTTCTATCTCGGAAACATCAATTTAGTGCGGAGTTTTTTAAGAAATAAAATATAAAATCTTTACCAAAACGCAGACAAAAAATATTTATTTTGTGAAAATTTTTAGAGTGCGTAACACCTAAAACAAGAAAGGGTTTCGATATTCTGTATATCACAGTCACATCATAGCAAATAAATAATTGCCTTCGTTCGAAATTAATTCAACTGTTGCATTGAGAGTTTTTTCATACTTATCATATTTTGTTTTCGAACAAAAGCATATTTCGAAAAAACCATACACCCGTGAGTATGAGTAACTTCTATTTTAAAAGTTCGCATGATGGGTGTGGCAGTGGGAGGAAAACCATGAAAAAATTTTGGAATCTAGATAATAATATTGGTTTTTTGGACACCAAAATTCAACTTTCTACCTATCATAATTTTTGAGAAGTCTTGGGACATCACAAAATGCCCCATGTTTGAGCATAAATTTTAAGAGGTTTCGTTAGGCCGATTCGTGTTTATATTTAAAAGAAAGATCATATCAAAAACTATATTTTAGAAAAATTTCATATCAATATCTTTACTGGTTCCGAAAATATCGAATTTTGATCGCCTAATTTTTGTTTTGTCACACTATGCGACGTCTCGCATACGTTGGGCAGTAACAAAACATTTTATATACTCTCCATAACTGTGAAAAGAATGATTAAACTCGAAATTCAATCTTTTAGTAAGGCTGTGCCCTGTCAACAAACTCACCACAAGATTGATATACTAACGGGGTAACTAAGTGAAAGTGCTAGATTTTTTTTAAAAGAATACGGTTAACTTGCAGAACTGCATATTGTTAAGGTCTGCACATTGTTGAAGCCTGTATATTGTTGAGTTTTTTCATGTTTTATGAAACTGTTCAGCACTAAAAGAATACAGTAACAGTTCGCATGATGTCAACGATGTGCCCATATTATTTAGGTTTTCTGAGTGTTTATTTAAAGCATATCCCCTGGTTTCATCGTCTGCCTTGCAGTTACCTAAAATAGTCGTATTTCAGAATCGGTAACTCATAGTAGAGAAATGTGGAACGACATCTGATTTACAGATGTGTTGCAGTTAAAAACGGCCTTGGATGTAAATTTGATAAAACTCAAGGATTTTAAAGCTGTTTGACTGTCTAATAGTAACTATTTGCTCTTAAGTAATATATTATCCATTTCTAGATAAACCATACCTTTCCTTTCCTATAGTAATCACATGCGCCTGAAAACAATGTAATGATCGCGGAACCTATAATAAATAGATTTATTCTGTCACTCCGAGAAAATTCTACTGCTCACATCACTACCTATTTCAAAGCCGTCAATAAAAATGGTTAGACTCATGAAAGATCTCCCGATAATTAGATATCTCTAGCTGGAGATTAACATTAACATTAGAGAATGTGTTTCGAGGTTTTATTCGCTTTCAAGTAATATCAATATTCTGTGCGCTCAGTCAGCTTCATTTTGTTGAAAGGATAATATAGACTATGAAAATATAGGCTATGATAATATAGGCTATGATAATATAGGCTATTATAAGTCATCAGAGGAGGAAGACGCTGTCATAGTCGACAAAGCACAACATTTGTAACAATTGTTATTATACGTCGTTGTCTCCAAGTGTAAGTATTGAGATTCACATCACCCTCTCTGAACCTAACCTTACCTATGACAGAGTGAGTTTAGGGTTCGACATCACCTTTGCAACCTTAAAAAACACCAGCTCCAAAAAAAAATAAGAAGGAATAGTAAATGTAGCATTCAAATTAGCATTTTTTATTAATTTTTTCCTGCCAAGCAAAAGGGACTACACGAGGACATGAGTAAACATGAAAATTAAGGAGAAAAAAAATTTGTTCAATGACGATTTCAATTTACAGAGATGACATATTAGTTTGAAATTTTCTCAATAAAAAAGAAAAAAAAACAACAACAAAGGCAAATGTAGCAGCTGCAAAAACCAAGAAGGAGGCATGTGAAGAAAGACTTTTACTTTTTGGATGCGGACTTTTATGGAAATAAAAGTCAAATAAAACTAAATCGAAAAAAAAGTAAAAATAATAAAAAAAAACGAAATTTGTAGTAAAAAGTGAATTAAATAAAAAATATTAATGCGGTACTGCGTGCTATGGCGAACCCACGAGTGCCATTTTATTTGACATATTATAATTTATGCGCTTACGCAGGCAGGCAAAAAGCATCAAGCAAATCCAAAACAATGCGGCTGTTGTTTGTTGTTGTTGTTGTTGCTGTTCCTTTTGTTGTTGCCTATACCTAGACCGGAAGCTGGGTCATTGGTGTGAGCGAAGTAAGCTGCGAGTGGATGGACGGTGATTGCATTGTGACCATTTTTGCTGTTTTTTTTTTGTTTTTGTACTATTTTTTTATTTCGTTTCGTGTCTTTTAAGTTTTACTCTAATACTTCTTTGTTTGTTTTGTTTTTATTTTATTTAATTTTTTATAATTTTTTTTTCTCATTGCACAACTGTCGTACCTTTTGGGTGATTAGATGTCAGTCGAAAGGGGAAAAATGAAATATGGCTGCGGTTACCATTCAAACGTAAAGAAACACGCATAGGTTCAAGCCTTAAGAAAAGCAGTGGGAAAAGCAGAACAAACTACAACATTCAACTGTAACAGACATTAAAGCAATAACTGAACCGGCTTAAATAAATACAACAGATACTCTGAGAACAACAACAAAACAATAAGAACTCCATTCAAATCTTGTAGAATCTGAAGAAAAGAAAAATCGCGTCGACATCAATTTAAATTACGCTTGCAGAGTCAACGTAGTGTAAAATAAAAACATAAATAAAAACGTAAACGAAAATGAAAAAAGAAATGAAAATACAAAAGAAAATACAAAAGAAAATACAAATGAATATAGAAATGAAAATGAAAATGATATAAGAATGAACATAAGTATGAGAATTTAGAATTAGTAACGAAATCAAATGAAAATAGACGACAAAGTACTCGTTTTTCTAGGGTAATTGAGACGTAAAAATTTAATCAAATTCCCTCATAAAATAGGAGCTCATTTGTTCTAAATAAAATTGCATATACATAAGCTGAACCATTCTAAAATGAGTATAATAATAACAACAAAAAATTAAAAAAAAAAAAGAAATAGAATAAATAAATGAAATAATTTAATTAAACGGTTTAAATGTTGCTATTGGCAATAATTCATTTTAATGTGCTCTTCTGCTCTTCTGCTCTTCTCCCTTGCCTTAATATTGAACACCAAAACACCAAAATAGCTACGTTTGTAGGCATTAAGCTTATATATTGTGTATACCAGTTGCCCTATACTAGACATTTAATAAATTTAATAAATTATATATACTTTTTTTCATAAATAAAATTTACCAGCATATCTGTATATGTATTACTAACGTTATTATTATAACGGGTGTTTTTTTTTCGCTGCACGAGAATTACGATATAGATAACTATAGTTTGACATAATTTTGTTATTAATTTTTTGAGTTGTTACGTCGAAATTTATATTAAAGTCTGTTTTGTTTTTTTAAGAATGTTAACTTTTATTTCGTGCGTTATTTTTTAGTATAATTCTATACGTATTTCGGCAAATTCGCTTTTGCCTTCATCAGGAGGATTCCTAATATTCTTTTTGCCGAATTTGCCGAAATACGTATAGAATTATACTAAAAAATAACGCACGAAATAAAAGTTAACATTCTTAAAAAAACAAAACAGACTTTAATATAGTTTGACAGTTGGGAATGTTAGAACAATATAACATAAGCACTGTCCTTGATGGCAACTCTGGAAGAACCGAAAAATTTGTTAGTGTTACGTGCTTTTGAACATCGTAGTGTTAAGCCTCCACGCCATAAAATGCTACGCACAGTAACAATAGAGACTTAGATCTAGTCGGAAGAAAGTGTATAGTGGTGTTCTGCAACTAGCTCTATAAAATCGTAATTTTCAAATCAATTCCAACTAATAACTAAATGTTTGTTTATCATATCGAATTATCGTAAGCGTTTTTTTTCATGACTCACAACGGATCACCACACATTTAATTCAAAAATTAATTAGAAATTAATTTTAAATCATGAATGATTGAAATCAAGCATTTTAAGAACCTTAAGCATGTTGGTTTGATATAAGTATATCAAATATTTTCTATATAGGCTGTCAAATTTAGTTCAATAAATTTTTGAATGTCAAAGGGTTTCTGTCATCACTGCTCACTTGCTTATTGGACAAAAAAGAAGAAAGTTTAGACTATCTTTGAAAGTGTCGTGCTGTTAGTGTTTCATCTGAGAATCTCGTGATTTATATAATTCGTAACATGTGAGTAACATTAAAGAACTTAAATATGTATATAACTATAATATTTCCCATCAACTTTATATCTCATCTAAAAACTTTTGATCGAAGGCCTTTCATTTTTTTTGTTGTGTTCCCAAAAAATAATTCTAAATTATTTTTTTAATTTATTAAATTCTTTCTTCTAGATTTTACATATATCAAAATGAATAACTTCGTTAATTGTATTAACGAAATTTATAATGAAATTCCAAAAATTGATTTGTATTAAATGTATTTTATGTATATATACAAAATCTTGTGTTTTCCGTTACGTAGAGATCCGTTATGTAGAGATATTAATCAAAGACTGACGAGATTGTAATAAATAAAAAACAATGTCAATTTCATAATTTCAGTCTTCATCATTTTTCATATTTTCAACATAATTTCTATTAATTTCTAAAATTATTCAAGTTTGTAACTTCATAATTAGCTACATTAATTATCTCTCACTTATTATTGCCAAAGACCCTTCCTCTCAAACTGCTTTGTATTCATGGAAATAATTAGGTGCATAATCTGGAGAATATGGTGTTGGATAGATTTCTTAAATTCTCGAGAGTGCAATGAAATAAACGCGTTATCTGAATGTGAAAATTATTGAGGTAGTTCCTTTTTTCTGGATTTCTCATTAATTTTCTGTGTATGCATACATGACTATGTATGAAAAGGAGTGGGGGATATGGGTTATTCTATGTAGGGGGGTACCTACGATGTGCAAAAGAGGTGTGTGTTATATGCTATTTTTATCAAAATAACACTAGAAGCTTATATCCCCTTTAGGGCTGCATCATGCGCGTTTCGTGTGTGTTTGTTATTATTCTTATTATTATTATTTATTTATTTCTCCTTAATGGGTATAAAAATACATTTTGGAAGCCTGAGCTTAAAACAAAATATATTGTATATGAGAATTTAGGTAATGAAACTTCTGGTGATATGACAGGTATCGATGATCACTGACTTCTGCATGGTATCAACGAGATTTTGCGGGAGTCCAAAGGTGCTCATATTTGTACAGAGATGTTTGTCATTTACATCTTCAGCGCTTATTATTATTGGAATGGTGTTGATTTCCTTATGGTTTCAGTTTCGTTTAGTTTCTACTGCTAACTCAGTATATCTGCTAATTTTCTCTATGTTTATACGGCTCATTTTTCTGGTAGCAGGGATTGCAACATCAAAAAAGTAGCATTTACGTTCGTTCTTATTAAGGAGGGTGATATCGGGGCGGCTATGGAGCCTCATGTGATCTGAGTATATTGTTCGATAGTAGTATATTTTGACATCTTCCTTCTCCGTAATTGATTGTGGTTTATATCTGTAGTAGTTCATCCGCGTGAAGTTTATAATAATTTGTTATTATTAATTTTTTTTTTTTCAATTACTTTCAAAATTTTTAGAAAAGTAGGCAAAAGTTTTTAAAAGTTCTTACTTTAATTTTAAAATTATAATTTTTTTTAAGTAAAAGCAAAAGCGGTTGTGAGTTAACAAAAAATTTTCTAAACGTAGTGTTAACAAAAGTCAATCTTTACATTTGCTACCAATTTCTGTGCTGATTTAAAATGGACGAAGACCGCTATTCAAGTGAGGAGGATCAACCCGAGGAGAAGCCTAGTACTTCTCAAGGTCAAGCCAAGCGTATTGAAATTCGTAAGGTAAGAAATGTGATTACTAAACCCCCATTTAATTCATAAATGCTAAACAATATCTATCATTTCAGTTGATGCCAGTAGCTGGGTGGTCCTATGGTAAGATCTTAAAATGACAATTATTTTCAATTAATGTTTCCAATTTTTTTCTTTCTTAAAAGAATTGGAATTAGATATCTGTGCAATATGCCGCAATGAAAACACAGAGCGTTGTATTCAATGCCAAGCGGCTCGGAGTGAGGAGGAGTGTGCTACAATACAAGGCAACTGTAAACATATATTTCACAAGCATTGTATTGCACGTTGGTTGGAACATAGAAATGTTTGTCCATTAGATAATCAGGACTGGACATATGCTTCTGATGCACCCCCCTGTTGATTTCTATCTTTATTTTTCTGTGGCGTTTTTCACGAACAACAATTCTTAAGATTTACTACATGCATTCATTTATCACAACATCTTAAATTTTAAAATGTCTTTATTTACAATACACACTATTATTTTAAATAAACGGAACATTTGAGATATTGTTCTACTCAGCGATAATAACATTTAATTTCATTGGAGATATTTATGAAATCAAGCAGTTTAATGTGTAAGTAGCTAAAAGACAACAAGTACAAGCATTTCTTAAAGATACGTATATATTAAGGTCCTCTTATATTCCAAGCCCCTAACGCTTAGGGTCCTCAAGTCCTTAATGATAACAAAATTGTATTTAACATGCCAACATTTTAAGTCATCCTTATTAATTTTCTTACTAGACTTGCTGAAGTTTAAAATGCATCAAAACATTATATTTTTCATCATTTTCTCAAGAAAGAATTAATCTGAGTACAGTTTAATGTATAATATCATGTACTTTTTCTATACTATATTAAATGTGACGAATTTGCTCATCGATTTTTTTAATTCGGTTAACCTATTTCGTATAGTTGGGATGTGATTTAGCAAAAGTTCGGGATTTTATTATAAATATGCGATACTAATATCATTTTGAGTTAAATTTAATTTCTGATTGGATTTGTTAAATTATACAGCATAAGAGAATTTTTATCAGAAATTTTTAAGGAAAATTAAAAAATATTAATACTTTATATAAAATACTAATAAATGTATATGTATATATATATGTATATAATATATATATAATATATATAAGTTGGTATTTATAAGTTTATATAAAAATCGAACCTTTAACATTATTTATACATTCATTGTTTTGTCTTGGTGGCCAATTCCCATAACCAAAATGCATAAATACGAAACGAATGCAGTGGTTGTTATGTCGAAGACCTTAACCAATGAGAAAATAAAGAAGCCTCCATTAAACTATAATATAGTCTATGCAGACTCACAATAAATCATTACAGGAAATGATGAAATATGGTTTCTTCGAATCGTACCAAAAACACTGCGAAGCATAAGTAATGAACCCTTTTATACTAATATCTACAAAATTTCATTATTTTAAACACCAATATCCACACAAATAGCTTAGATTTTAACCTAATAGATAAAAGTTCATCACAAACTAAAATAAAAGAAACAAAGTCTTAATATCCCATCTCGGTATGTATAAATTTCGACTAGCCTTAACCTAGTACTAGTGAGGAAACAGCGGTCCTTTAAACTGTTAAATAACACAATGTCAACTGGTGCGCACACACTAGTTTGAAATTAGTCGAAACTCTTGAGATTGAGACAACCGATCTTCTTTTCGGTAATATATATGTAAAATGACCAATTTTTATAATAAACAAGTTAGTTTTGAATCATTAACGAGCGATGGAAGACTAGTACTACACTACCATGATATCCTACTATACGTTTGAAATGAACCATAACCATTTTAAATAAAATAGTTCAATGACATATGCAAAGCTAGTTCATTTTGATGTTTTCCATCATTTATTGAAAAATATTCATTTAATAATATTTATTTATTTCTAATTGTAATCTAAACAATTAAATTTTAAAATAAAAGACTTTTCTGTAGTGCCGAAATATTTTATTGTTTCTGTTATATTTACCAAAAAAAAAAACAAAAATGTCTGGTTCATAAAGCAGTTGTGAATTGGTCTCCAGCATAGGTTGGTTATCATACGTCTGACGGACCTTGAAAAATAAAAAATCAACAATATAATTTCTAAAGCAAGATAATATAACTCAATGTCATCAATATAAAATTAAATAAACATGCATTAGAAAATATTATCGAGTTAATCGAAATATTATAATATAATTATCTAATTTTATATCTCTTATTAAGTAGGAATTTATAATATTTTAATAATTTTATAAAACTAGTTCAATAACAATTACGAATAAGCATACATACTAATAACGACGTTTTGGTTGAGTTATGAAGCTTTTCTTTGAATCGGAAGAGTGTGTAGCTTTCTTCCTTTCTGCAAGTAATTGCGCAACAGCTGATTTAGAACTCGGTGAATCTTTCTTATAGAAAACATTATCAAGACGTGGATAATGCTCGTATGTTTTGAAGTTTTCTTCAACGTCTAACTGTTTGCGTCTCGCATGGGTATAAGGACCTGGTCGTAAGCCAATCAACTTTTTCTCAGAATTTTTATATGCATCTTGCACAAAGTTCATTCGTTCATCGATATTTTTAAATTCGCTACCATTTGATGAATTTCCTGTACAATTTTTACTAGAAAAATTTTCTTTCGATTTGCTGAACTTTTGTGAACAGCTTTTACTTCCGTGAACCGAAACCGTGGGCGTGGGTTCGATTGGTTTCTTATTGATAAGAACCCTCTTGTAGGCGTTGGCGTCCATTAGTCCGTCAGAGAACATGGAACGTACCTGTACTGCTGGGCTTCCTAAGGTTCTAAGAAAATTTATTAAAAGTTTGCCAGACATTTTGTTTGCAAAATTTAGAAACCCTTAATACCAAAAATATATACGAAGAATTTTCTTTATAAATTTTTAAACCGACTGTAGTTAAAATTTGTGAAAAGTTAAATATTTGAAATTTTTAGAAATATGCACGCCTACTTATATACAATAGAGTTTATTTATATAAATATACTTTACATCGTATAGTAAATTGACAACTCAAAATAGGAAATAAGAAATCAAGAAATGCAGACTCTAAAAAAGTAAGAGAAAATACTGATCCGTAATAAAACAATTTTGATTTAAGCTGGTCTGCCATAATACACAATACATTAACTTTATATGATTGTTTTATAAAACTAGATATTTTTGTTTCTTTGAAGAGCTCCATTCACAGTTCTTAATATATTTTAAATCGAAGTGTAAACATTTAAATATTTTCTTGTTTTACATTAAATACTTTTAAAAGCTTCGCGCATCTTAAGTGTTAGCAAAATTTAAAAAAAATTCATTAGTCAGACTCATTAATCATCAAGATGGAATAATAATATTAAACCAAGTTTTGATCTGTCTGGCAAAAATTATGCATTTAATAAACCAATTAAAAAATTTGATTTCTCAACAGTTTTACCGATAGAAAACTGTTTTCCGAACTATGACGTCAATCAATGAAGTAAACCTCAGTATTTATTGGGTAAGTGGCATTCTTGATTTCACCATAAATTCTAATTTATTATTTCGTTAAGTAATTCAATCTAACAACTGAGTGAATCGAATGAATAGAGTGGATAGAGTGAGTCATTGTTACCGTTTTATTTTAAAGATTTTATTTAAAACGAATATTTCACTTAGTTTGATTTACTTTGGAATATAACTTAAAGTTCGATTTAAGAACTATAAGTGTTTTCTGTTGTTTTGCCGTTTGTAGGCTATTTGGGTTAAGGTTGCAGCTTCCTTGGTTTTGTTCGAAAAATTCCTATGGCAACACCCAATCATTTCAATAGAAACATTGCCTTCACAACACAAATAATGCAAATGCTTTTGTTTTGTTTCAAAAAATATTTTACATTAACCAATTCATTGACATTTTTATTAAAGATTTACTTTTGTCAAAGCTAATGTCCCATAAAATCCATTTATATTGTCTCCCAAAGTAGCTTTATAACTTAACCAAGATTGAAGGTTGATTAAATGTGTGGACATTGTTTGAATCTTTTAATTACTCTAATTGAACAGTTGAATATTGTAAATAATGCAATAAATATGTTAGTAAAATAAAATAAAATAAATTCATTTTTAAAGTGGTGATTAAAACATAGTTTTATATAAAAACTAATGAAGATTTTAGTAAAAATTTTTAGACGCTGCATAATGTTTACAAAGCCTTGCACTTGGGGAACAATACTACTTCAAAAGAATGTAAATCATTATTTGAGGAACTACAAGCAGAGGTCATTAAAAGCAAAAATAAATAGATTTCATACGTTAAACGAAAGCCAATGAGGAGTGAAGTTAATATGATTTGTTGTTACAAAATATGATCACTAATTTATATTAATTTGATTCATTGGAATAATATTTAAAAAAAAATATTCACTGAATATATTTACACATGCTTTTTTTATAAAATAACTTAGATTGGATTATTTCTTGCGGCTTAATGTGAGAAAATAGTCGTTTTAGATTCGCTACATCGGTCTTCATTTTTAAGATATAACATAATATCCGTCCAATATTATAAAGTGAATTTTTGCGATAACAAATTTTCTTACTTTGGTGACATTGTAACGATAGCCGACTTATTGGCGTGTACTAGAAAGGCCCTAGTAGAAAGACCCTTCGCCATCTGTGAAAAGCTTATGAAGCAAATTATTCACAATTTTTATTTTTTATAGATTGAAAGCCTTAAACGTGCACAATTCCTTCTGAATGAAACAAATTAAATGACCATGAATATATAAAGGAATCGAATTAATAAGGAACAGAGCTAGAATCTAACAATCATAAAATAAAATAAATTAAAAGGAGAATATAAAGATGTAAATTCAGAAATTCGTAAAGTTGTTTATATGATGTTCGGCTATAGAGTGGATCATATTGGAAATAATGGATATTGTAGGTTACTACATTTTTTACTAATTTTTTCATTTTTAATACAATAAAAATTTAATATATTTTCTTTAGAGTTTCCAGCATGTATGCGGAGAGTCCAAATGACTATATAAATGATTACTTGTATTTGATGATAAAAGTAATTTAAAATAATTAGAGACTCCTTTAAACTAACTTTAAAAGATTTTATTGATACACTTTAAATTGACAAAAAATCCAATTAATTCTTTTCCAATTTCTTTTCTTAGTTCTTTAATATTAGAGTCATATGACCGAACAACAGTTAATATTAAATAAATTTATAATAATTTACATAGAATACTTAATAAATAAATATTTTTATATGTAGATTATTGGAATAAAATCTATAATATATCAATATAGGTTAATGATAATAAAATTATATTTAATAACAATTAAAAAATATCTATCAATTGATTTCTATCGAACATAAGATTATTACCTGAATATAAATAATAATTACCTGACTTCACAACAGGGGGCAACGCTACAATGAAATCAATTACACTTCGTATATCTGGCAAGCTTAAACCCACAGCTTTATAAGTTTTGAC